TAATGTTTATATTAATTCTAAAGACAAGTCTTCAGAGAATTTAAATCAATTTTTTTTGGTTAAATAGGACCCCCATTAGAGAAAATCTGTTATGAATCAAAAAATAAAATAAAACTAAGACATTATTTAATTAGAAAAGATTTTAATTGCTTTTATGAATAAAATATATTATGGACATGATTGTCTTATTAGGAATTTAAAAAAAATTTTAATTGGAATAATTCAGAAACTGTTAACTGTTAAACATTTTAAAATTCTGTATTAGTTTGTATTGGTCAAATGATATTGTTATTTAAAACTGTTTACTAATCATAAATGGAAAACCTTACTATGATTCATCAACACTGTGTATTTTAAAAAGAATTTTTTTTGGTGACTTTTGTAATTACAGATGCCCATACACAACATTATCAGAAAATAAGAGTGGTAACTAGCAGTAGAGCCTGGCGTTGCCTGGGGATGTAACAGTAAGAGATAGATCAAGTATCGACCATCATAAAGACTGAAAAATAAAATTGACAAAGATTATTGTTTAAGGTTGACGGACACGCATGTCTTAATTAGTTTTTTTTTTGTTTTGTTTTTCTTTTTTTTACGAATTGGTCAAACCCAAACTCAAACAAAAACATTGTTTTCAATCGTTATGAGTCTACCGATAGAATAGAATTTTATTATAAACAATTGTCTTGTAAATGGAATTTTTAAAGCATTCTGAAAGTAAAAATAAAGAAAAAAGTGTGCAAGACAATAAGAAACACTACCTGCCAAAAAAAAAGTGAAGTTTTGTTGAAATCGGTTAAAAAATGTTGGAAATCCGATCCCATATATAAACAAACACACACATACAACCTGGGTTTTATATTAAGTATAACTCAATATGAGTTGTCCCCCTTTCATTCTCGCGACAGTGATGCCTCTTAATTGTGTTTTCAAATTGATTTCATGCAAAAACAATTGTATTTTCCCAATTTTGGGTGCTGTCATAACCACCGCAAGTTAATTTTACATAGTCCTGTGAAGTGTTGTTGAAATCGGTTGAAAAATGTAAGAAATCCAATCCAATATATAAACGAACAGACACACACACACACACACAACCTGGGTTTTATAATAAGTATGATTTCCTAACATTTCCTCTACAGCCATCTTTGTAAATAAAGTAAATCAAAGTACATGAAATTCAATAAAATGTTAGAATGCTTAAAATATTTTAAATATTACTGGGTAGTTAAAAAAGTTATATAAAAAAGTATCCATGATGTAATTTTATAACAATTATCTATTCCTTAGATAAATTTGTCAATAAATATATCAACAACTCATAAAAATACCCACCTCAGTGTTAAAAAATTCTTTTCTGAGATATTTTAAACTAAAAGTAATATTTCTTTCAATTCAGAACGAAACTTTAAATGAGGTATCTCCACTTTTTCACATGCTATGTTGGAAAAAGGTCCCAAACTTGATAAAACAAAGTTTTAACGTCAAAATATTTGTTATTAAGACAAAAATATTTTCTTATTATTTTATTAAATTTTTTTTTATCCTTTCTAGAACATTCAAAATTTTGGTTAAAAAAAAATCTTGTTTTTTTTTGTGTCAGTGGTGGGCCAAAGACTACTATGGATGTTTTAGTGCCTTTTTCTCATAAAAAAACACATTAATTCGGGAATTCTTGCAAAAATCAAATAATTGTTGGAATTTAATGAATGAAATTATTTTTGAAATTTTTATTTTTTTTTTTTTATAAAAACTGTTACCGCCACTTTTATGAAAATTTGAGAAATTAAAATTTCAGCCTCTTCATTAGTTAAAAGCAGAATTTTAGCAATCATTTTCTTTTTGTCAAATGAAAACACCATTTACCCCAAACAGACTGAATCATAAAATAAAAAATGCAATAAAACTATGACATTATTTAATTAGGAAAGCTTTTAATTGCTTTTTATAAATAAAGATATATTAAGGACATTATTGTCTTAAGAAAAAAAATTTTTTTCAATGAATAATGAATTTTTAAAAAATTGTTTTTATTTTTTTTAAAATATTAATTAGAAACAAAAATTTATTAAGTTCAAAATCTTAAAAAATTTTGTATTAATTTCATTTAGATTATATTATTATTAAGTGAAAACTATATGTACTAATCATAAATGGTAAGGCTTAGTACTAATCATCAAACACCAAGATTTAAATTGTTTAAAGCATGGGCAACCATGCATGACATCATAAAAAAATAAGAGCAATGACTATAGTAAATATAAATATATAATTTTTAAGTACTTAGTAATCTTAAAAATCTTGAAAAATATTCTCCATAATCTAATTTTAGGAATGCTGACTTTAAATTTACTATAGTCATCAGTTTTATCTTCTGATAATGTCGTGTATGGTCACCTGTACTTATAAAAATTGGCACGTGTATATACACATACAAAAAGAATTCATAATACTTTTAAAAATATTAGTGTATGATTTTATTTGTATTAAGCTTTTCCATTTATGATTAGTAAATTATGGCAAAAATTAATACAGAATTTTAAGAGATTTAAAAGTAAAACTTAAATTATTCTAATTCAAATTAGAAAAGAAAATGAAAATTCTTGTAAAAATCCATTATTCATCGAAAAAAACAAGTGTTCTTAAATATTTTTTTCTGAAAGCAATTAAAAACTTTTCCAATAATATCACAGTTTTATTCATTTTTTATTTTACAATTCAGCGCAGATTTTGGTCCAAAAATGTTTAGGTAAATGGTGTTTTTAATTCTGTGTGACAAAAATAAATTGATTCCCCAAAGAGTCCTGCTTTAAGAGCTGAAATTTTAATTTCTTGAAATTTCATAAAATTAAGTAAGGGGCGGTAACAGATGTAAATAAAAGATATTTTTACCAAGATTTTCTAAAACAGAATATTTTTAAAATAATTTTATCCATTTGTGAACAAGTCCTGAAAATTTCATTAAAATCTGACAATTATTTGATTTTTTACAATAATTTCCAAAACGATGTATTTTTAGCGCCAAAACAAAAAAAAACACTAAAAATGAAATCCCTATTGTAAACTGGATCTTGCAATTAAAACTAAAAAATACGTCAAGAAACAATTTTAAAATATATTTTAATTTTAAACCTTATGCATCACTTTTTTAATCTAACATTTTTGTTAAAATTCTAAATATGGTATTTTAAAACGATAAAACATTGCTGAGATAGTAAGTAATAGCGGTGTCAAGACATAAACTGTCCTTTGATTTTAAGTTTTTAACACGCCGTTTTTTTTTTCGGTTCTGAAGGTTAAACTTTGTTAAAAAAAGTTAAGTCTCACGAGTTTCCATAAGTAAAATCTGACCAAACATCAACAAAACAATTTTGTAGGAGAGGACTTTTTGGCACCCCCTCCTAAAAATTTAAAGTCTGGAATATTTATTGTTCTGAAATTAATTTCACTAAATTTTCGAAGAATTATAAAAAAAAATAAGAATGAACGGGAATTAGGCCAAAAGTCGAAGTAGTTATTGTCTGTTTTATGGAAATATTGAACCTTTCTTGCTTGACTAGCCATGAAAAATAATTTAGAGAACAAAAATGTTCAAAACAATCTAAACTTGCCAAATAATGCTCATCTTTTAATTTTTTGTATCGCCACCGAAATGATTTTTTTTTAGCATACAAAAAAATAACTTAACTTTTTTAGTATTATACAACGCCCGATTTTTTCCATAAATCAGATAAAAAAAAAAAAGTCAGATCTTCAAATAAAAAATATAACTACTAAATACCGGTGGGTGGAAAATTTCTGAGTATTTATTTATTCTACACCTGCTTCTTACTTTTTTTTTTCCAAATGTGTGCTCAGAATATGAGGCTAAGTTAAAAAAATGGGGGGGGGATAATAATCTGGAAACTTCAAGAAGTTATATTCCAAGTGAAAATGAATTAAGATGAAACTGCTAAAAAGTAAAGTGAATGAATAATATAGAAAAGATAAAATTAAAATATAATATAATCACAACACCAAACCAAAATAAATAGCTAGAGAATAAGTTTCAAAGTCTTTTTTGTTGAATGAGACAGCTAAAAAAAATATTAAAAAATCAGCAGTACAAAAATATAAAATGAGGTTATTTCAATTTCTTTTATTACTTGTTTAGTTCGCATGTTTCAAGTATTTTTTTAACTTGACCGCAAATTAAGTAAACTAAAATACGAAGAAATTTAGTTCAAATTTAGCCACGTGACTTTATCGAAAACAGTACTGATGACAAACGTTCCATCTCAAAAAAACCTTTTTTTTAAAAAAAATAAACATTATTAAAGATTAAAAAGAATAGCGCAGTTTGCATTTATTTTAAGTCACATTAACTTATTTGTTTCAATTTTCAAAGAAAAAATGAAAACAGTTTTGTTTTGATTTGACCTTTGAGTATAAATTAAAAACGGACCCCTCCAAATTATCTAAGTATAAGAAAAATATTTGAATTTTGAGATTTTTACAGTTTAACTTTAAAAAAAAATAAATTAAAAAAATAACAAATAGATCCGCATTTTCATCAAAGAAAACATAATTAATGACATGTTAGCAACGTTCTTCATCTTTTTTTTCAAGTAAAGGTTTAAAAAATTTAATATCGAATTTTTACCTTCCCTAAAAATTGTTTGGCTTCGGCGTGATCGCGATCGCCGGAAGTAAGGATCAACATTGTGTTTTTTTTTTTTTTTTTGTTTTTTCTCTCTCTCTAGAGGAAGGGGGATTAATTCATACAATTTGAATTATCTGCTTTTTCATTTGTCAAAAATCGAACACCGGTCACAATTTAAATTATCCTTTTTAACGACAATAAGCAATATCGGAAAATTATATCATAAAAATATACATTATTTTTTTGTATAAAATTTGTGTATTTATAAGCAGATCAATTACAGGTTTTCTTTTGGTGAAATAATACCTAGCGTATAAGCACGTGCAGCAACAATCCCGCACATGGTGCAGTAGTGAAAATGGCGGACGGAAGGTAAGTGCTGATTTTGCTTTGTAGCGTATCAAAATTTTCGAATGGTTTTAATTGCTTAAGTAACAATGGTATTTGTCTGAAAGATTTAGAATGAGTCACAGTTTGTTGATATCAGCAATGATGTTAGCTGTAATTTTTTTTCTATTCCTAGTTGGCTGTAAATCTTATGAGTAGAGAAAATCAAAAGATGAGATTTTTTTGTGTGCTAAGTCGCTTTCGTCGAATGTTCCAGTAAATCTTTTTTTTCTTGTCATGTGTTTTTTTTCTTGTTAGTCTTCTAATTTTTATTTTTAGTTGTTTTTTTCTCTGTTTTGCCTATTTTATTTTCTTGTTTATACTTAAAAAGAAACTCTAATTTTTACTTTATTTTTTATTTTTTATTTTTTTTGCTCTCCTTGTCCCCTCCACCTTCAACGTTATCCATAGTTTCTGCTCGCCATTCGGACAGACCCTTGTCGCTGCTTTACCTTAAGTAATCCCTAAGGATTAAAAATTTGATCAATCTATTATGTATCTTCATGACCTAATATTTTCTGTATAAGCCACCTTTTACGTTATTTTTCTCTTTTTTTCTATGACTTATAATCTTAGCTGAAAATCACCCCTCTTTCCCGGTCAAAAAAAAAAATCACCCGAAAAAAGGTACTTAAAAAAAAAAAAAAATTTCTTTAAAAAAAAATTACCTTTTAATTTTATACTTATTGTAGCTTTCATCTGGGATAACTAATGACTTAATTAAAATATAACTCCCATTCTAATTACACTTGTTTAAAAGTGATGGGTCTTTTTTTATTATTTTGGTCTTAAAATCGTTAGCTCATTTTTAAATGTTAACCTTTTCAGTTATCAAGCGCTTTAAAATTATTTTAAATAACAGTATTCTAAGAATTTATCTCTGATACTTTGAAAAGGTTTCTTTTTTTTCTAATGAATTTTGGAAGTAGTTTCTCGTATCATGTTTTGTGAACAAATAAACCAATTCTAAAAATGAATTAACTCCAAAATACCCCGGTTGCTTCTCTACCAATACGTGTAATCTTTGCTAATTTAAGTCAATTTTGCAATATACTTCAAATGAATTTTTAGTATATTTCTAAAAAAAAAAAAACTCCATGGGTTTTTCTTGTAGATGCATGTTTTGTAAGAATTTGTTTGTCAATTCCTGGAAATATTCAGTTTCCCTGTTTAGATATGTTACTTTTACTTTATTTTTTCAATTTGAAGACAAATGAATTTTATTAAGGCACTTTCTCTCAAATTGGCTTTAAAATTGCATTCGAATAGTAATTTAGACTCTTAGTCCATTGTTTTTCTGAACTTGTCTGGATTTTTTAATGTTGTATTGTTCTTTTACAAAAATATACAACCACAGGAGGTATTTTCTGGCACTGTTATAATTGGAATTATAATTAAGATTTAAACTAATTTAGTATAATTACTGAGTTGAGTACTAAAAGGTTTTACTTTAGATCGCCATATATGTTTTCTTTTCGCCACGTTCAAACTTTAAATGAAATAAAATTTCAAGTAAAAGCACGTGGCAAAGCGCAGACACAGACAAAAAAATAATTGCCTTAGAAACTTGACTTTTTCATCTCAGAAAATTCTAACAACTTGGATTTTTGAAATGCCGCCATCACAATGGGGGGGGAGCGAATACTCGTGGGACAGCATGTTTATGGAAAAAGTTTCTTTTTTATGATATGACCCGCCCAAGGAAATTGTTTTTATAAATTGTATGATGAGCACTTTTTTTTTCTGTTCAAATTGTATACTCAAAATTGACTTGATATTTGAGCTTCGATTTTTCATGTGGAAACTTGTACCCTGTTATATTTTTAACATGGCCGCGATTGATTCGGTGGTGTGGTGTGGGGAAGTGCTCGTGTGTATGTGATATATATTTCCAGAGTGCTGAAAATTTCTCACTAAAAGCATTTCACCCGACAAAAAGAAATCGAGATTTTGGAAATGGATCTGGCTGAGAACTTCTCGAAACCCACCTCGTGGATCCAGCCATCCTTGCTCCAGACTTAAATCTGAAAACTAGAATAAGAACCGTTTTCAAGTTTGAAGAAACATGAATTTTTTTTCTTTTAAAAATATCTACAATTGGCTTTTTCTTTCTGTTCGGAATTTGTAATTAAAGCTTTTTATTACGGGGGGGGGTCATTATACTCTGCATAGCTGGCCTTTTTCTGCGCTGATGTCTCCCCTTTTTGATTATTAATAACTACAAGAGAAAAATGAGAGGATGACTTGTTCTTTTCCCTCCATTCTATTATTACCTCTCGTGGCTACAGTTGGTTAGCAAATCTCTTAATTCATCCGCGGTTTTAGAAACTTGTCCATGTGCATCTTTTTTTTTTTCCTTCCCCTCCCTACCTCATGTTACTTTAGGTCTTGGTGACTTACTGTTTTCTGGTTTCTACCACGTATTTTCTTAGACTTAATTGATTCAGATAATTTTGTAAGCCCCCTTTTTTTTTAAGTTAGGTATTTCAATTTCTTTTCTTTTTTTCTTAGTTTGGTTTTTCAGTTGACTTTCATACGAATTAACCTGAACTGGAAACTGAGTAACTTACATTTCTACTTGATGTGGAAAGGGGTGATAAGTTCTTGGTCTGATCTTTCTCAGAAACTGACCAACTATCAAGATTGTGTTGAAGGGTTTCTTGGTGGTTCTCTGTACTCGCTCCCGTCATAACGGTTGAGTGGCGTGATGTATGCGATGCAGCTTGGCATATACATTGGGGATTCCCTGTTTTATCTTGACTTTCTTTGTGCAACAGCTGCTTAATAGCTAAAAAACTAATCAGTTACACTTGCCGACATACACATCGTATGGTGATCAAACAACTTTTCCTTTTTTGCCTCTAAAAAGAATTTTCTGTATTATTTTTTTCTCATGTTTGTATTATTGCTTTGATAACCTTGTTCATGACTATGAATTACTCGTTTTAAAAATTAGTTCACGAGTAAGAGAAACTATAATTTAAGGAAGTATGCGTTCACTTGAAAACTATTATCATATTAAAATTTATGTTTAAAAATAAAATGGTTGGTATTGCATTTCAGAACACTGATCTAATGTGTCAGTTCAATCAAGTTTGAATTAATGTTTTATATAGAAAATTTGTTCGCTTCATGCTTGTCCTATGAACGTTAATCGTACTTTTTTAAAAACCTTCAACTAATCTATATTTTGTAATGAAGTGTCCAAGGTAGTTAAGTTATGGAATTTTGATCCGAGTGCAAGTAGTGACTGATTTGCTGCAGTAATGTCAGCTGGTTTCAGAACAGGTTTTGTTATAATTTAAGGATCACCCGTTTCATTTTCTCTTTGCTGATTCATCACTTTTTTGAGCAGAGATGTAAGAAGATGCAATGATTTTTTTTTTGTGTGTGTGTGTGTGTGGAAAAAAAAACTTACATGACCGATTCATTGTTAAGCGGGTATTCAAGTTTATACTTTTTGTGAATTTGAAAAATATTGTAGTTGTTGATAATTTTTTTTTTTTTTTTTTTTCAATGATCACATCTCTTACTGAGTCCTACCTGTGAGATCGTCGGTATCTTGCATAGAAATATAATTTGAAAATTTACCTAAAATAATGGATTTATCAATGGATTTTTTTAAAAATGAAAACTTCGATGATTGAATAGCTATGTTACTTTGAGAATTTTTTTTTTTTTTTTTTCGCCCAGGGTTTATTATTTAATGGTCCGGACTGAAAATTAAACTGCAGTGTAAATTGTTGAATTTTTAAAGACCGGTTTTCGTTGTTTGTTTTTTTTGTTTGTTATTTACATTTTTATTATACACATTAGCTCTTATATTTCTTAAATAATTTACGAATAATCCAAATCTCGCAATCCACTATTCTACAATTTTTTTTAAAAAAATTGGCGGCGTGATGAAATCGGCAGGTACAGAAACTCATTAAGGAAATCTGAAAAATATCAGCAAGAATTTTCTTCACTGAAACAGTTGTAAAAACTAATTGAAAATAAACTACGTAAACATTGCTTTTCTTAAAAGAAAATTAAGAAAAAAACGCTTTTCGTGATGGATATTTTACTTGCCAGCAATCTGTGTTGACAGGCTTTATCTTCACCTCTATTCAACTGTAACAAAATATGACGACACAAATGTTGTTCAAGTCGCTCTAATATTCCGGTGACTGAAAGTTTAATACTAGCATTTATTTTTACTATCGATATATAATTTTCTGTATTTGATGTTAATTAAATGATGTTGTTGACATCGCGGCGCAGTCTTTATTTTTAACTTTTGGTTTTCCATAAATTGTCGGTCACATGATTCGCTCATAAATTTAAACGCGGTTCTCGCATAGACGCCAGTTGAAAAACGTGTATTTTTATTTATTTTAGAGTGTCAAATGTCCAGTTTTTAATTCGGCCAGCTGTTTAAATTTTTATAATCTGTCGAATTTTTACAAGGCCTAATAATTCATAATTTGCTTAATTTGATATTTTTCAAAAAAACAAATATTATGTTTACTTTGGGGCGAAAGGTGTGTTTTGTTTTTTTTTTGTTTTTTTTTTGTTTGTTTTTTTTACCTGCTACTAATTTTTATCTTAACCTAAAAACTCCAAAAAGTAACTCGGAGCAGGGTTTTTTCTTCTCCAAAGAAAATCAACATTGCAGTCGCTGTGAAAACCTGGGGTTTGATGCGATGAGTGCTGATATCAAAAATAGTCATAATTCTTACCAATTTTGGGGCTTTTAGGTTTAAAATCTGAAAAATGTACAGAAATGCTTAATTTCTGCTGGTTTTTGCTTACGAACTCACTTCAAAATTTTACTATTTCAAGAAAAAATCAAAATAAAGTTGATATTTTTTGTATTAGGTACATTAAATGGAAAAATATTGATCAAAGGCACCTCCATGAGATCGCTAAAAAAAAGAACATAGCATGATTAAAAAGACGTCAAACTTGAAAACAAAATTTTATCGTCTAAATGCCTATGTTAT